ATGGAAAAAATTTAATGTTATATCTATAAATTAATTTAAAAATATAAACTATTTCATTAAAACTTTAGACACTGATTCAGTACAGTTTATTTTATATTGCAAGGAAAAGTGTTGCAAAATCGAGGTTGGAAGTCGGCTGAAGCAGCATCAGACGCTTGAGAGAGGAAAACAGCATTCTCTGCTCTCATCATTGACAAGACGCAATTGAAACAATAGGTCACTGCTTCCACGACGCGTCGAACTCAATTGTCTGGCAGCTAAAAGGTATGCAATTAGCAGTCTCGCAACATCAGCTGACGCAAACGAAATGAAAATCGCTGCTTGCTTCGATTGAAAAACAGGTAAAAATAAAACGAGAGCGCATCTTCGTTTGTCAAGAAGTGGTTATTCTGACCGAGCTTTCACTTATGTGGAACAATAATTAATTTGCCGCGAAGCCGCAGCGGTCACTCGAGATCGCACCTTTCCTCCTTGATTATTCTCGACTGACAAGTAGAGGAGGCGGTCATGCAGCAGCGCGACAGTTATTGACCGGCAAAAAGTTTTAACGACGACGGGAAATTATCCCGTGCCTTTATTGTGCCAACTTCACGCCGCTCGAGTACTGTGAAATGACTCTTCTCGGACGTGACATTAGACGGCGCGAGCAGGACAATCCCTCCGTTTCTCGGTGCACCTTTTGTTTCCTCACAGACAAATTTCGAGAGCGATACATTGTTGCGGCCGGAATGCGACCTGCGACTCGCAAAAAGTGGTCAAAGCGGTCCTTTTTTCTCTGTGCTTGGGTTCTCTCGGTTTTAATTAGAAAAAGTTCGCCACATACACGGCTGCGTTGACGCTGGACTTTCTAAAAAGGCTCTTCTAATGAAACTAGGCAAAAAAAGTTTTGCCGCAATTAATGACTAGCTTTTCCCAGAAATATATATATTTTTTTCAAACCGCTGAGATTATAATATTTTTATTTTTGCACACATGAGTGCACCAATCTGGGCTGACAACAATCTATAATTAAAATAAAAGGCGCCATTCAAAATTATCCATAGAACGCTCACACCAATTAAGCCTTCACTTTTAAAAAAAATCAATCGCCCGGATCGCTGCGCTCGGCGGCGAACGAGGTGTTTGCATTTGTTTCGCAATAGGCAGTCATTATTTCCGCTGCAATTTGACGAATCAATCGCTTATGACCGCTGCAAATATGTACTTATACTCCAAAAAAAATCTTTGCGGTTCAGAGGAAAAGCCTCAGACTTCATGCACTGATAAAATGCGACGAAGAGGAAAACATCATTATGAAGCAGGTGACTCACCTTTCAATATACGTTTTGGTGTCAAAAAGAAGAATCAACGCTGATAAGTTGAATGAAAATTTGCACAAAGGGAAGAGCGTGGGCAACTTCCTGCATTTTTGCTTCTTCAGTTTCTTCCTTAAATTTGTAATTTAATTTTTTACCGGTGGGCTTGTACTATTAGGAAAAAAAGTTATTTAATTCATTCATCATATTTGCTGAACCTCCACAAGAAATGAAAAGGCTTATAATATTATCTAACATTAAACGCTTCTATGTTCATAGATTAGTTATTTAATTTTAATCATAATGTTACTGAATAATAGCAATTTAAATTTATAGGTATAATCAAAGTTAAGTCAAATGTAAATAACAAACTGAATTCTTCATCTATAATTAATAAATCAAAACCTCCCAACAATGATTCAGCAATTTAGGACATATTAATGATATATCAAAATATAAAATTAGCTAATATACAAGAATAAATACAATCTCTCGTTCATAAATTTTTAAAATATCATCTGATGGTCTTCTATCATTGTTCGTAATTAATTATATTATTTTATGTAGATTTAATAGAATAATTTTTAAATTTGAGTATGTATGTGAATAAAAATATTGTTAAAATCACCAAAATTATAATTTGAAATATAGAAAAATAATTGTTTAATAATGTTTAAAAAAAAATTACTCTTTACCTAAATACATTTCATAATTTTGTACTCTAAAGGAAAAATACACTTGATAATGAAAATTATTAAAAGTACATTTTTATTAAGAATTGTAACGATTATATATCAAACAATGCTTCAATGCCTTTATCAGAATAAATAATTAATCAGATATGTATCGTTTTCAATTTTTCCATCATAATTATTGGACCTGGCAGGTGCACTACCTTCGCGCTCCATCTCTCGGAGTTCCTATCAACCTTACACTGGCTGAATACGACTTCGAGCAGAAAAACTGCAATGATTTTTTTTTTTATAAATTGTTTTGTTTATCCACGCAGCTTTTTAAAATATGAAACGCTTTTCATATTTATCTCCGTGGCTCTTTTAATATGACGCAGGACGCAGGTAGCTGCTGAGTATCTTTGCGTGTGAATATCACTTAAATAAATTGTTCGCTGCCACTTTTATGAATTGATAAAATATGTGGATTTATGGTTCTGAAAGGCAGACAAACTACTTTCTTTGCACCTCACTTTGAGGAGAAGAAGATGAAATACGACGAGTCTGCTGAACAAGCAGCTCATCAGTTCGAGTTTCATTGCTGCGAGGCAAATTTCTTGCAAGATGATTTGCATGAACGCCAATAAAATTCTATGAATTCTTTAATTTCCATTAAACGATAAAAATATAATAACAAACAATAGGGTTTAAATGCAAAAATTTGATCTCTAAACCCTCTAAACCAATTTTATTATAAGATTTTTATAAAATATAAAAATAATATAAAGGCCGGGGGCAAATATTAAAAATCTAAAATCTGGCTGTCAATTTCTCTCTCATTTTGTTTTCAGTTGTGAATAATGATTTGATGAAACTATTTAGGTCAGAGCGCAATTCTTAAATTCTTTTTTTCTATTACTACCAAATCGATGTACTTGTGTGTGGTTTCTAAATGCAGTGACCGCAACGCATGGGACTGCTAACAATGTTGAATGGCGAACACGATCGAGATGCATCAGGGACATTAATAATAGCAACAGCAGAAAGTGCATCTCAGGTGCGCGCCTACGTCTGCTGAGGGAACTTGATAAGAATCAAATATCCACAACTGCTGCATCCGCGCGCCTTTCATAATGACCATAATAACGAAAATGCAACTTGCTACTGTGCGCCGCCTAAGAGGGCAACAAATTGGCAGGGCAGTGCAAGAATGGCTTCTGTAATGTGCGTTGCAAAATCATCTGGGAATTTCTCCAAGTGATGTTAATTTTTGCCACGAATGATTGCTTCTGATCAGAATGTTTTATTGATATTATAATAATTGTGCCCTGAACCCTTTGATTTACAGCATGTAACTCCTTTTTTTTAATTCAACGCAATCAAGATAAAATTTATTATCTATTAAGAGATTGATTAAATATTTTAAAAATACCGGTTTTTTAATACTAAAATTATATACAGTATGTTTTGAATTTATGTTGAATATTATTTATATTATTAATGCAAAAAATTTTGCACTTCCCTCCCATTTTAAGCCTAGGGCGCGTCACGAATGCATGCAAACAGGAGTAAAACGTCAGCTAAAGCAGATTTTCAAGCAATGTCGGTGTTTTGCGTGCAACAAAGAAAGAAAACGCAAAGAGATGCACTTTTCCTTGGGCACGATATACGAGTCGATTTGCTTGTTGCGAGGGAGAAAGAGAAACCGGTAAAAATAAAATGAAAAAAGTATACAAAAAGATGCGATTTTCACGTTTCGCATAAGAGAAGCAGCTCGGCAATATCGTGTCTCGATCAGAGTGTGTTTTAAAAATAACATCTACGTGCAAGTACACTCTTGAGTGATTGCTTGTCATGGAAAATGCTTTGAGCCTAAAATATACCTCGCTTGAACAGCGTCGAGATCGAACATCAAAAGGACGGTCGAGAAAGAGAGGAAGATTGCAATCAGCACGGGCAGAAAAGATGAGCGGCGAACGCATCCCGTGTGTGCAATTTGGAGTCAATTTATTTTGCACCTCCTGATTTCGATCAGAGGTTGATAAAAATGACTTACGTAATGATCGAATGATGGTGAAATTGCAGGTTATAAAAAAGCAAGCTTTTTACTGCAACATGTTTTGGACAACTTGCAAAGAATGATTTGGTGCTTTGCACTACAATTAACAAATTTAAGGGGCAAAATATTCATTTGCTATGGTGCATTTTCTATCGTTACCCGAAGTATTTATATTGGGGGGAGGGGGTGTACATGAACTATATAATTAAATTTAAGACACACATTTCATGCTGCATTTAGAACGACTATAATATATTTCTGGTTGAGAGATAAAGGACAACTTAAGTGTTAAAATTTATAAATTTGGGAAAATTAAAAACATGAAGGGGAAAAATAAAAATAAAAGTAGGGATTTTAACGGAATAAATAGAAAAGTTGGCAAATATAGGGTCAAAAACATAAACATAAATAAACAATAAAAAGTTACTAAAATATTAAAAAAATATTAATATTAAGTTTTTTGAAATGGATTTTTTATATAATTCTTGTTATAAAATACTTTACCAATTTTTCTGGAAACAATTTTCAATATTTTTTATGGGGTTAACACATCATTATAGTCAATTATAGTCAAATTAAGCTACGCAGTTTTTTTTAAATATCATTTAATATTAAAATTTTAAAAGCAATTATTTGTTTTTGGTAATCCTCTTTATAAATTATTAATAAAAATAAAATGCTTGATACTAATATATAATAAAATATTAATCACTGCTAGACTTACTCAATATACCATCATCATTAAATTTAACATCTATCAAGTAAATAAATCTAATAAAATAAGTTTTTTATAATTAAATTAACCATTAGCCAAGATCACTGAGTTCTGCCACTTTTTTTAAAGTGGCTTTTCTGAACGTGGCCCCAATCGCAACTCAGCGTTGGCTGCTTTCATTTTCAGTTTGGGAGTTTAATGCACGAAAGTTGTCAGGACGAGGAAGAAAGGCTGCGAAGAGAACAAACACCGCCACTTACCGGTAAATCGAGAAGCGCCTGCAGCGAGTGGAGAGCAGCCCCCTGCCGAAGCTTGCAGAACTCGACGAACTCCTCGTCGTTGCTCTTCTTGTCCCTGATGACTCTGCAATCACAAAAATTTTGCATATCATCATTTGTCAGGCCGGTCATTAGCGATTTGTTTTAATAATCGCGTTCGGGTCGGTGACCGAATGCGGATGGATTTAATTTTTTATGATTCGCGCAGACCGCTGCCAGACTCTTGGCGTTGCGCCCAAATATTTTCGCCTCGGCAATAAAGCACGTCTCTCTGCGCGTATATAATAAAAAGCACACCTCGTCGGTCTCAATTATTGACCCCTCGGGACACGAGCGCGCCTCGTTTGTTCGCAATTTCCAGCACCATCAATATGGGCGTCATAAAAGTAAATTCATTTTTGCCCTAACAAGGTGGCTCAAAACGGTGATGTATTATTTATTATTCACGCGGCCGGCGAGACGTAATTATCGAGGTTTTCACTTTCGCGGCTGTTTTCGGTGCCACGGGCAGACAATATTGTGTTAAAAGTGAGGCGAGGTAATTTAAGCACGCAGCCGTGTGCTAAAAACGTCAATTCTCGCAGCTTCCAAATTAAAAAATATACAAGTCTCTTTATGCGCGCGGAAGGCGTTTTCGTGTTTGAATTTAATTTTCGAGTTAGTGTGTTCGTTAGAGAGAGAGAGAAAGAAAACGGCTTCGGGGTGGGCTGAAGCTTTCGGTTTTATGTAGAAATGGAAAGGACAGTCAAATTACACACCAGAGTTATATTTTCGTTTTCATCTCCATGTTTCTCGTGAATATAATTTTTCATGGTCAGCGTGTATAGAGAAAGAAAGGTACGCACGCTTTTTACTCCTCTCTCATTCACAGTGTATATCTTTTGGTGCATGCCGTGCTGGCGTGGAAGTAGGTTATTAAAACCCTTCTATTTATGAGAAGGTATATACGTGCATGAAAATTTGAATAGACCTTTTTAACCTCTTTTACAAGAAAACAGATTAAATGATGGTCTATTATTAGTGGAGAGCATCAATGTAATTGCATATTGCTTCGAATTAAATTTATTTGAGCATATACACACCCCATACCACTGTAATTGTTTACTGAAGTATACATAGAGATTAAAAAAAAAAAAATCTTAAAAAACCGAAAATTATTGAAATTCTTCCCCTTTTCAACTTCCATATCAAATGTATAAGTTAATTTTGTGAATAAACACAAGTCAAAACTGCGATACAATATATTACTCTCAAGAATCTCTACAAATGCATGCACTAATCAGTATATATATTATAAACAAAGCGTAAAAACTTTATAAAAATTTATATCAACATTTAGCGTGATGACAAATTTTTCTTCATGGTTATCTCTCAAGTGCTAATATAAAATTAATTTGATAAAATGCAATTAATGTTTTATTACAGTTATGTTTTACTAAATTTTTATCAATTAATTAACTTTTAACATTCATTAAATAAAATACGTTTAAAAATTTAAACTTAATTTTCCAAAGTTTGAGGAAATAGTTTTCGTATGATTCTTAATTTTATTCACTTGTTACTGCTACATCATAAAGTTATAGAAACGATGCATAGGAAAAAGTGGTTGGCTATGATTCAGCTTTGCTTCCAGCAAGATAAAAATTAACACAATATATAGAGTTTTGAACAAATGTATTGTTAAATTTGTAACATAAATTTATAAAAATTTTCATTTTTACTTAACCTTCAATAGGTTAGAGTGTGAATGTTCAAGTCCTTAACCTAGAGGCACAATTCACGACTCAAGAGGTAAATTAAATAAAAAAAAATCCCATTGAAATTTGACGTTGGCCGAACAAGCAATAAAATAAAAACGAGAAGGATGATGCGCGCTTTGTCGGCTCCATAAACTCGTCTGCTGGTGCGTCAGATATGGATTTGGAGAAATCGGACCATTTGGGTCAGCACGGCATTAGCACTTCTTCTCTTATTCTTCTTCCAAAAGAGATGCACCAACATTTATTTGGATAGCACATGAGGAGGCTTCATTGTTCGCCGCACGAGACTAAGGCATTATGCTCGAAGGTAAAAAAGGAGCTGAGAAAATAATAAAACACGCCTCGGCAGTAAGTTATTCTCAGTATTTTCCTTGCATGGATAGATAAAAAAAAATTAAGACAAATTACCCGAAACTGAATGGGAAATTATCCCGGCGGGACCCAACAAGTTGAAAATTCCTTTTAATTTCATGCTTTTTTAATTAAAAGGAAAATTGTTTTCTGAAAGTGCCGCCACTATAGGCGAGGTGTATGATTGAAGATTACGAGCGTGACCCAGGGCGTGAAGGGTTATCAATGGAAAATAACTCTCTCTCCGTTCTCTCTTTGCTGACTTTGTCTTCGGAATGCATCTTGCCATATGTGTGTATTACTCCCGTGCGTGTTGGAGCACCCAGATCTTGGCGAGAGATAAGGAAGCTCTCTTTGGTGCGAATTTTGTGTCATTTGCGTTGACATTCAAACATAGGTCACCATCTAATAGAACACTCAAAATCTCTTGCCCATTTTTTTAACTGCTTCTACACCTTCATGGAGAGTCCTTTTTTCTCGCTCTTTTGGGGCGAGAAAATCTCAGAGGGAGAAAATATGACCTGTGACAATTAATGCTAAAATCTCACCCTTGCCGCCCGCCACCTCCGAGGCCCTGGTCCAGTGAATCCAGTTTCCGCGGTTTTACCGTCGATTTCCGCGATTTCCGCCGACTTTTTATGGTACGTAATCATTCCACAACACTTTTGATACACGTGAAAATCCACCTTTACAAATGTTAATGGGAAGAAAATTGCGTTAAATTGGCATGAGACAAAACGAACACGTGTTTTCACGATTTGGCTTGATGAAGGCCATTGGTTGACCAATCACGTGACTTTTACCACTTCAATCACCTGTTAATTTCTGGTGGGAAAAATCATGTGGCGGCGGGAAGGGTGCATGTTTTTGTCAACAAACGTAAAAAAAAATATTTCGTTTTGGGAAAAATTTAAACAGACACAAAAATTTATATTTTGGATTTTTTTTAAATGTTTTTAAAAGTAAAGCAAAGATTAATTTTTCTATTGAAATATTTACTCTAAAGAATTTTAACCAACAAAGTCGACACTAACAATGAGGGAAAGTTTGCTTGCGATTTATTCCAAAAAAGTCAATTGAAGGATTCTAGGTTAGTTTTGTAATGAGAAAGTGCATTTTTATCCCGCCACAACTTCCTCTCGGCAGAGATCCATCATTCAATCGCTGATATGCTTCTCTCGGCCAAACCGCGATCGCGAAAACACAATGGGCCAAACATCAATTTCCCGCGTCCGTTTTCAATGGCAAAATAAATTGTGAATCGATACGCCGCTCGCAACAATAACAACAAACCGGCGGCGGTACTTAAAAGTGGCACGCAAGCAAGTCTTTTTCTCTCTTCCTCTCTTTCAAGCATCTATTACATTCGTGTCTCTGAGATCTCGTTGTATGTCACAGTTTGCAAAGTGATAATAAATTTACTGCCACATTAGAGAAACTCTCAAGAGCGAATGCGTGTTTTTATTTTTTAACAACAGGTTGCTGCCATATTTCATTGACGAGCCAAATAAATTCCTTTATGGCCATTCAAGGTGCGAGAGTTGGCACGACGATAACGCAGCAAAAGTGTTTTCCTGCATCTCTGCCACTTAGAATTCTTCCTTTTTATTTATCATTTCCAGCGTGAGAAACAATCCCATCACAGTGTCAATGGGATCAAACTTTCGGCCAAATCATTGCTGCTAATGAAACACGGATTTCACTTTTATTTTTCTAAATTAGCGTTGTCACTTTTACAGAAAAATTTAATGATATAATTTTCTTTTGTGTTTACAAAAATTCGCTCGGGTGCATTTTCGAGAAGGGAAAAACGCTGATTACATTTTTTTATCCCGATGCATTCTTTCGTTGCTGACCCAATTCTCAAAACTCGGTGAGCCTTAATAGGATTAGGGGAGATTACGCTTTGTTAGTAGCAATAAAATGCCTCTAGAATTATGTACTTTTGGAATCTGATGCTATAGTATAGTCATTAAACTAAAACCACAAGTGAGCGATGACAATATCTCTAATGGAACTTCTGGCCTAGTTTGGAACTCTCCAGCTCTTTTGGTACTTTGCGAGAGAGCTTAAAAAATTTCGTTCAACCGCACTGGCCGGCCAGTCGGTGACTTTCGCTCTCCGGAGAGGAAATTAATGAAGTATGAAATGAGAGAATGATACTCCCAACGCAGCAGCAGGCCATTTTAATTACGGCACAAGATAATATAACGAGTTCGTTCGCCGCTGCGCTGATCGGACAATGCGCCACTTTCGTTTCGACTCCATTAATTTTGTACATATACACGCGGGAAGTGTGTGTAATTGCATTTCGCCGCTTGGCGTGTGAACGTGTTTATTTGAATGTAATTTAGCTTGTACTTACAAATGATATTTCAGTTGCCGCCGGACTGTACTAATTAGGTTGCAGGCGTGATTCTGGACCGTAAAGGTAAAAGTTAAAAGATTGCAACACGGCACGCAAATTTTATTTAAAATGTGCAATTTGAAAGAAGTTCCAATATAATGACTAAACAAGATTAATCTAAGTGTTATAATTCTCTTTCAATGTGTGTTTCACTGTTAAGATTGATGGATAAGGCAAAAAAATATTGGTTTTATATTACTGTATAATATAAAAAATTTTCAAAGTAGTTTTAAGAACAAAATTGACAAGCATAACAAAACATTTAAAAAATAATTTAAAAATGTAAAAAAAATAAATTTGTGTATGTCACAATAATTTTCTTAGAGTCAAAATATCATAAAAAATGGCAATTATAGTTATTTGTTATTTTTTTTTTTTTTAAATAAAAATAAAATGTAAATAGTGCTGAAAAATACGACAAATATATTGCTATCGTAACTACCACATATAATATATTAGTAAAATAAAAATAATAATAAATCACATATTATAGTGAAATAAAAAAAGAATACATAAATAAATCCCTAAAATACCATATTAGTAAGCATAAAAGTTGGATGCGCGTGA